ATTCTTTTCAGAGGATGAATTTTTATCTCCTCTTGTAATTTTTTCAATTAAGTCATATCTTGTTTTAAATTGTCAATTTTTACTTTTTCATACTTAGGGGGAGATTGTTAGCTCTCATATTTCATTTAATGTAAAAGTATGAAAAAGTATTACTGTAAGTGTTGACAGAAGGGTTCTACCACTGAAGACCACAGAGGACCAACAACATAAGATATACAAAAGCGTATAAGTCAAGATTGACAGAACCTTTGTTGTCTCTCACAGAGGTTCTGGAAAATAGTCCTATGTTATCAAGAGCTTACAAGTCATATCCAGCAGAGCCTCTGAGATGTCTCACAGAGGGTCTGCAGTCTATCTTCTGTGAAGAACCACTTCTTACTATTTTACTTAGGTTAGTTAGCTGCACGTGCTTCTCACGTGACTATGTTTGCAATCTGCTTTATTTGAACGGCTTAGATCCTTTCACTTGTCTAGGTCATGTCAGAAAAGCCGTTAGGAACTAGTATAAATAGCAGCTTAGGCCTTTGTAATTCGGTGCGCTTTCGTATTGTAATCGTCAATATTTCCAATAAAATTGAAAATCATTTGAAGCTTTTCTCTCGTGTTCTTCATTCTTCATTTGTGTGTTCTTGATTGATTTCTTACTCTGTTTGTTCATATATTGTTTCTGTTGCACTGTTATTGTCTAAAAGATCATCTAGAGTATTTGGTTAATATCATAAGCTGAATCTAAAGGTCCTAACACCTTCACACCAGTGGCTAGACTAGAAGCTATTCAACTCTTCCTAGCTTTTATTGCCCACAGAGACTTCAAAGTCTACCAAATGGATGTAAAGAGCGCTTTCTAATTGGAAAACTTCAAGAGGAAGTTTATGTTGAACAACCTCTGGGGTTTCTTGACCCTAAGTATCCAAACCATGTCTATCGTTTGGATAAAGCTCTTTTTGGGTTAAAATAGGATCCCCGTGCCTGGTATGATACCCTCTCCTTGTTTCTCATCTCTGAGAAATTTGTCTGTGGAAAGATTGACCATACCTTATTTCTTAGGAAAGTTAAAGGTCATATCGTTTTAGTCTAAATATATGTCAATGATATTATTTTTGGTTCCAATAATCCCTCTTTGTGTTTTTGTTTCGTTGATCGCATGAAGAAAGAATACCAGATGAGTATAATGGGAAAACTAACCTTCTTTTTAGGTCTCCAGATCAAGCAATCAGATAAAGGTATTTTTATCAGTCAGAGTAAGTATGTCTGTGATATGCTAAAAAAGTTTGATCTCATTCTAACAACTCATTTATGAAAAGTCCTATGGCTCCACCACTCTCTCTCAACAAGGATCCAAATGGAAAGCCTGTAAAAGTAACTGTTTATAGAGAAATGATCGGCTCCCTACTGTACCTTACAACTAGAAAACCAGATATCATGTATTCTACTTGCTTATGTGCACAATATCAATCTGAACCTAAGGAATCACATCTGATTGCTGTAAAATGCATTTTCAGATACCTGAAGGGAACTCCTAACTTTGGTCTCTGGTACCCTAAGGGTTCAGGTTTTGACCTTATAGGTTATTTAGATAGATGATTTTGCAGGTTGCAAAACTGATAGGAAAAGCACCAGTGGAGGCTGTCATCTTCTAGGGGTAAAGTTGGTGAGCTGGACAAGTAAAAAGCAAAACTTAGTGTCCACATGCTGAAGCTGAATACGTAGCCGCTGGAAGTTGTTGTGCCCAAGTCCATTGGATGAAAAACCAGCTTAACGACTACGATCTTCAGTTCTCAAAGGTTCCTATTTATTGTGATAGCACTAGTGCTATTGCGATTGCAAACAACCCTGTTCTTCACTCCAAGACCAAACATATTGAGATCAAATATCATTTTATCAGAGATCATGTTATGAATGGTGATATTGAACTTCACTTTGTTCCCATTGATTACCAACTCGCTGACMTTTTCACCAAGCCTCTTGATGAGACAAGATTTAACATCTTGCTCAGCGAACATGGAATGCTAAATGCTGAAGATTAATTTTCTTCAGCTATATGCATCAATCAATAAGTGAAATGATTCACTGCTCTCATTCTATCACTGAACTCTTGAGTAAATGTATCTATTTTCTCTAAGATATGTATAATCGCTCTTCTTCTTTAAAACTTAAAACTATCACATAAGCTTTCCTTTTTCAGTGATCAAAACGTTTTAAAAGTTTGTTTCAGTGACTTTCTGTCACTGAACATTTTAAGTAAGTATATCTCTCTACTATACTTATCTTTTCTTAAAATCAAAATATTTCCTCTTTCAGTGATTCAAATGTTTTTAAAAGATAGTTTCAGTGTTTCTTTTATCACTGACTCTTTTATGGAAATATATCCTTATAAGATATTTTCCTTTCTTAAAACAAAACCATTACTAAAGCTTTTCTTCTTCAGTGATCAAACGTTTTAAAAGGTTTTTACTCAGTTATTTTCCTATCACTGAATGTGACTATTGAATATCTTAAAACCTTTTCGTTTTAAAAGAAATAGATTATGAACCATCTTTATGACGACATTCTCTATTACCAATACGAGTTGCTTTGAAAAGTGTGTAAAAGTTTGACACAGGCGACCTCCTCCAACTTCCATCCAATCATGGATGAGAATGTGCCCTTTTTAATCATGGCATTTCCTCAACAGTTGCATTTTCCTCTCTCATATTTCATTTTATCTCTCTTCCTACCTATAAATATGAGACTTCTCTCCTCATCCTTTCTTTACGCTTTCAAAATCTTTTGACGAACCTCTGCCAAAACGAACTTGCAAGCAAGAACTTCCTAAGAACGCTCAAAAACTCTTTCGACCTTTTCTCCTAAATCACTAAGGTCGATACTTCTTCTACATTTTGAACTGTTCTTCTTCTTCTTTTAATGAAACTGTGTTTTTTTTCTTTAAGAACTTGTTCTCTTAAAAATACAAACATAAAGATTATTAATACATTCTTTTTCTTGGTTATAATCTAAAGTTTCAAAAACACTTATTCTTCTTGAAAAACCCTAATATTTTCTGTGGATTTTTCAAAAGAAGTTTTATTGTTCTAAAACTTAAAAAACTCACATACTAATCTTGGACTACTAACAAAACCTGTTATTTCTTATTTCTTAACTTTAACAGATAATGGCCGCCAAGAACATGAACTTTTTCGTTGAAGACATGACCTTCAAGGCTAACAACCATGTCGCCTTGATGGACATTCCTTCTAACAAAACTTTCTACGAGGATGCTTCTTCCTTCCTCAAGATGTCCCCAATCGCATACGCTCTCACCCATGAACCTGTCATGGTGAAAGAGGCTCTTCAGCAGTTCTGGATGACTATTGAAGTGGTGTAGGACATGGACAAGCATGGTCAATAGGTGGAGAAAATCTCCTTCACCTTCAACCGCATGACCGTCAGCTTCGGTGTGACAATGCTAAGGCATGCTCTACGATTTCCCAAGGGTCCCTTCATCAGTGATCCTTCAACTGAAATCATCATCGCCTGGCTCGATGAAATTGGCTATGCCTGGCCAATGAAGAAAGACTCTAGTGAACATCTGAAGTCGTTGTCGAAGATAGAGAAGAACCGCATGTCTACGCTATGGCAATACCTCTTCTCCCATTTCATCCAGTACATGGAAGGAAAGACTGGAGGTCAAGATCAGGTCTTGAGGGTCGCTCTTAACATCAACGTGTTTGTCATTCGCCAATGACCCATCGACAACACGGCTGTCATCTTCGAGGACCTGACGCCGAAGTTGAACAAGCGCTAGAGGGAGAAAGTCGTTCCATACACCAAATTCCTCTCAATGGTGTTCGCCAAAATCATCGGCGAGAAGTACTCTAAGGAAGGTAACCTTCCTATCTGTAAGCTTGGATCTAGATTCTAGATCACAACCTAAGGGATGGAGACATTGCACTTTGTGCTATAGTGCAACCTATCTCTTCAATTCCTCCTCCTTCTTCTTCTTATCCTACTAAGGTGGTTAAGACAAAGGAAAACCGCCTTAAGTCTATCCCAACCACCACAACCCTCTCTACCAAACGCCCATCTTCTCGACCCACTCTTGGTTCTCCTTCGAGGGCCAAGAATGCCAAAAAGGGGACAACCATGTCTTTGGCTGTGACCTCTCAAAAGGTCTCAACTATTGAAACTCGCTTTACCCCCGAGGAAATTTCAGCTATCCTTCCCATCTCTTCAATGATATTTGAAATCACTATCGTACAGGTGGCTCCTATCCCAACCGCCTCAGTGACCCAAATCACTAAAGGTGAGAATATCAGCATTGCCACTGCTGAACAATCACGTCCTACAGTCTTAGCCATTTCTCCTCCCCTCCATCATTGGTCTCTACACGTGTTTATGACTCATCAGCGATTGTCCTCCCTGATGATGAAACACCCACCACTGGACCTGAGATTGCTCCTCTCGAGGCATCTCAGCAAACAGGCGCCTGTCCTCTCGAAGGCACCTAAGAGCGAACCAGCGTTAATCCTTCAGATAACGTTGAAAAACCCTCAGGTACTCCATCTTCCTACCCTTACTAACCCCGAGCTTCCTTATGCTCACACATGCTCTTTTTTAGGTCCTTTTGAAGAACTAGCCATGGATGAAGAGTACAACATGGCTGACGACGTAAAGCTACTCCTCCCTGTCGTAGAGACTGTTCTCATCAAAAAGGACGAAGTTCATAAGGGCATGCCTCTTAGGGACGAAGTAGCTACTGACCTCTCAGTTGTCCGGGCTAAAGTAAAGAAGGTCAAGGACCAGCTCTCAACAATGCAAGTGGTTGTGCAAGCCAACGCTAAGGCCATCAACGTTTTAACAAACAAGGCCGATAAAGCAAACTCTCATCTTGCCAAGCACAAAGAGCTGATGCAGTAAATTCTAGAGACTCTCCAATAGCCACACCTGAACCTTCGTTCATTACTAAAGACTGCGACCAACTTGATCACACACGTGAGGCTACTGTTCTACTAGCCCGTGCCATGACAAAGCTCGAGGAGATGATGACGCTTCAGATTCACATTGTCAACCATTTATTTGGCTATTGCACCAAAGCCATTGCCAAAGAGAGGGAGACAGAGTCTGGAGTTGCTCCTTTAAATGGTGTTGCTACCGCAGAACAATCTACTGTTCCAGCGACTGACGTTGAAGCTGAAGCCGAAGTTGATATCGCTGATGAAAACCCAACTTTTTGTGAAGCTCTTGTAGTTGAGGATGTTGATGTCGTCCGAGCTGGCGCTGAAGCTCGTGACGATGATCTTCCAATCACCTCTGCAACTAATGTTGGTGATATGGAAGATGATGATGAAGATGAAGAAGACGGTGAATATTCCAACCTTCATGACGCTGTTGAAGATGTGTATGATGATGATGAAGACGACAATGATGACGACTTCACCATTCAATAACAGAGACCTGCGGGTTCCATGAAAGGCATCGCCCTCAGAGATTCTGCATCCCAGGGGGAGCAAGGGGAGAAAGAGGAGACTCAAGAAAAGAACCAGAACACCAAGTCGAAAGACAAGAGTGTTGCTGAAGATGGCAACCTAGAGGTACTGTTCCAACCTCTAGAACTCTTATCAACTTTCCCCAGTGCTCCTATCGACCAGCAAGTGTCTTAGCTGAAAGAAGTCGCTCGACCAAACTACAGTAAAAATCCCTCTTTGTACCTCTAGTTGTAGTGAGTTCGACTTCCTGATAAGAGCTGAAAGACTCGAGGAACTCAAGGCCGAGGAAGAACTCAGACTTCAACGACAACAGACTGAGGATAGCTTAAAGCTGGCCAAGTCTCTTGCTGCCAAAGTTCTTCCAAGGAAGAAATCCAACAAAATGGTGAATGTTGTCCAGGCCTAGGCTAAGCTTCTTTCTATTGCAGAAGTTGAACGTGAGAAAACTCTAAAGCTAGCCGAGCGTGACAGAAGATGGTGCGAAGAATGTCTACATAAGAGGATCAGTCCTCACCCAATTTCAAACGTCACCATCAGCGGACGGACGAAAGATGGTGGAATGCTGGTCTCAATGCTCATCACCAGGGACAACCTTTACGCTGTCACGGAATACCCTTCCTACCTTAAAGAGTATGGCTACAGTGAATGGCTAGAGATCTGCCAAGCCATTCAACGCTCAAAGTCAAGACATAAGCCGATTATCGAAGACATCCTCAGTGATCTGATCAAGATGTCCAGGTATGTGACTGTCCCTAAAAAGCCTACTTTGAAGAAATGTGGAAGAAGAAGAAGACCTTCAAGTCAATGACGGACCAACCTTGAGGAAAGAACATGAAACAAAGTTCTCCTTGGATGAAGTCTTGAAGGCTTCGAAGAAGATGGACATTTCTATGTTGAATCTATCATTGCTAGCGAAGGGTCCTTAAATACCCAACACTATTCATATGAAACCTGAATTAGGATTTATTCTCCTTGACTATGAAGGAGAAATCAGCTTTCAAAGAATGTCTATGTTACATATATGTCCGATGGAACATCTCGCGTACATCAGATTCTAGCTAGATGATGACATATATGGTGAAGTGATGGACCGCAAGATCAGAAAGGATTCCTACGTCGAAAGGAGCTCGAAGAAAAAGTACCTGGCTACATCAACCTGAGCAACTTAGATTAGATATTTTTGTTTTGTAATTTGTCCTTCACTGTATATCTTTTGTATTCTATATCTACTTTCAGTGTTCAACTCATATGTTGTAAGCAAAAGAAATGTACTGAAAAACTTGTAAGTTTTCCTTTGAATCATTTGCATCACTGAAAAAGATCCCTGAAAAGAGTAATAGGGACATATGTCTATCAGTTCCAGTGTTCTCTTATAGTCACTAACAATCTATAAGTCAGTGAATATGCCTTCAGTTTTAGTTTCCCTTCTTATACTTTTTCTTAAACTTGTAAATTAACAAAATTTATTAAGTAAAAACTGACTCACTGAAAAAGATCACAAAACAGTTAAAAGGGACATGTACTTTATATGTAATTTTCCTTACTGTTATTTTATAAGGCAACTTTCTTTATGTTGCTTTGTTATCATCAAATAAGGGGAGATTGTTGATCCTCTCTCTCATTGATTTGATGGTAATCCCTTTTATCTATTTCGAAGTATTATGTTTCTGTCTTTCATTTCCAGCGATCATCACTGAGTCTGTTCAGTGATTGCTAAAACATGTATTGTAAATCCAACAGCGACAACGATACTTCAAGAAGACAAAACTCACACCAAAGAACCTTCAGCTAAAGTCGAAGACAGAAACTGTAGATTAGAGGCTAGCACATTCGTGATCTGAAGCGGCATTCAGTCATTACAACATGGTCAACATATGTGTGAAGACTGCCCAAGCCTCAGCGAATGCTGAAGAGACCTTCAGTGTAATTTCAGCATTCAACGATCAAATGAAGTTTGTTGTGCAAGATTGTTTTTCTCTTGTCCTTCCACACACAAAGAACAAACCTATACCCTTTCTAGAGTATAGTACGGTACGGAGCCGACTAGTTGACTCTATTACCCACCAACTCCACGAAAGGACGTCTGCTCATGAATAGGCTTTTGTACTATTCATTGTAGCAAAGGACAAGCTTTTCTTTAAAAGCTTGACGCATTTTCAAACCCTACTACATTGCATTAAATGTGCATTTAATGCAATGAGTATAAATAGATGAGTGTTCTATCCATGCAAACTACATGCATACACACAAGAGATCACACACACATCTAAGAACACTTACGCTTATCTTCAAGCAAGTTAGAATCCCTCTCAAGTATTCTAAAAGTTCTTACTCAAGAAGAACTTATTTCCTTCTTTATATTTCAACAAATCTTTTCTCTTAGCTAAGAATATTTGTGTGTAAACTTAGATTGTTTTATATAGGTTTAGATAGATTATCTTTACCTTGTCTTTTTTTTACATACAATCTTGTAAAAATCTGTATTGATCCTTCTTTATCAATATATATTTTTAAAATTGAAAGTTGTCTATGTTTTTATTCATCCTTTCCCCTTCCACAAACTGTTTCTATAAAACTCTTGTAGACCCAACCGGGACCAACATTAAGTTTCCCTTAGACCCTAAGCTAAGTCGATTAGTCCAACAGTGCTTGGATTCTTCTTGCTAAATATGCAAGGATTGAAATGCAAATAACAAAGATGGAAAATAAATAACAGAGATAGAAAATACAGAAAATAAACTACAAGTTTTAAAGATGAAAAAGAAAACTTGTTTCACAAGTTACTAATATCTAAAGTAAATAACTGAAAATAAATTTCTTGGAAATGTAAATGACTAAAATTATATAGCGTAAAGTAAAATACTATAATACTGGAAATGTAAAGGTTAAAGCAATAAAGTAAAGTAATGAAATGAAGAACAATATTGTAGGCTGTTGTAGGAGTTAATAACTTGGACGAGAAAGCTTTGTTCATCTCAAATACTTGTATCCAACACTTAATACACAGAAATAGCACTAGGATGATAGCCACGAGGCACAAATGGATTGGGAGTCCACTGTATTGCCACGAGTTTAAGGCTAGATCCAAAAGGTAAACTACAAGTAAACAAAGGTACTTAAGCAATCAAAAGGTAACCATGAGTACTTGGCTACTACTTGGTAAGCAACGATTTCAACTATTTAGACACAAGCCACAAATAGATTTAAGGTCCAATGTAATGTCACGAATTCAAGGCTAGTTCAAATAGCATATCTATGAATGTTTTGGCAAATTAACATATAAAATGCTAAATCAGTGTAGTGTAGAAAGATAAAGCAACGTATGCTTCTGTTTAGGCTCAAAAAGATAAATCGTGTGGACTACACAAATTTATCAGACTCAATATGTGATCAAAAAGACTTGAAGGGG